ATGTATTTTCTTTTCGGCTTTACAACTTTATCAGTTTCTCTGATCTGGACAAAAATGTGATTTGGGTTCCTGAAATGAGTGTTTTACTATGAGTGCATTTAGGCATTTGGTGTATTTTATTCCTGAGCAGGTAACCTGCTTTCTTGCCAGACGGTCAAATGCCCTTCACGAGGCATTCCGTCTGACCTTTGTGTTTCTGTCTCAGGAGCCGGCTTGCTGGCAGTGATACCTGGCATTGCAAAATCCTTTCGTAAGCCTTTGTTTAATGCCAGAGATCTCAAATGCTTTCAGATTCTGGAGAGGTGCCAGGCTGCACTCTCGGATTAGGAGATGATGGAAGGACTCCCACATCTATAAGCCTAATATAAGCTGTCATTTCAAGTGAATCAATCATTTATACTGTTGGAAGGAGTCCAGGGATGTTTGGGGATCCTTTTTTAGCCTATAAAATTCTGAGCTGTTGGACCTTATAACAATAGTTTAATAACTGCATTGTTATTTGTGCCACTTTGAGGTGAACCTGTAAGAAATTCAGCCTTTTGCTGACACCCAGGGTCATAGCTCAGGCTGGTTTACTTGTAGCATTTTCTTGTTTTCTCTCATGTCAAAGACTTTAGTGGGAAATGTGGGGCTTGTCCACATTTAGAATGATAGTCAGTTGAAATGCTGTAAAGCAATATGGGCAGGTGGGAGGAGGAATGAACACTGAGGTAAGTCCATAGTGTCCTGCCTGTATTATTCAAGTCCTACTTGAAACATAAATGTGAATACTTTTACTGTGATGTGCAAGATAACCGGAACTGTGGACAGTCTCGTGTGCCTGTTTTGAGGTTCTCAATGCTCTTTGCTCTGCCTCTTCCTGTGACAGTCTAGGACTAGGCTTTGAGGGTAGGTGTGTCCAGATGGTGAGCTGAGTATCACCCAGAACAAGAAAAATCTTTTGAAAGATTTGGCAGTAGTGAACTCCAGGGATTCTGAGCCTTCCTGTTTGTGGAGCCAGCCCGGGTTCCTCATCTCGGATGGCTTTGAGAACTCCCTGTTGCTCCCAGCCAGACCCAGGCTGCGGATGTATTCACACGGGCCCAGTTCTGGTGACACAAAGGGCACGCACTGCCAGCCGTAACACTGAGTAATGCCAGGAGGTGCCTTTTAGAACAGACCATGTGGGTGAGCTCCGCAGAGAGGGACTATCTCTGGCTTGACATTGAAATTACTGAATTATTTAAATGAGTGTCAGTTGGGTGGAGTAGGCTTACTGCCTTCTGCAGGGCACTTACGAGTTCTATTTTACACTTGACTGTGCAAACAACTTCATAGCAGATATAGTGCTTCCTGTCCGTCCTGCTGAAGTAGTGACAGAAGGCGACTATCCATTCCTTGGTGCTCCCTGATGGGTAGCGCATGTATACCACAATCTGAGAGACTGGAGGCCGCAGGCCCTGACCTATGGCCCTAAAAGGAGTTTGGGATCATGCTTGTCTCTCTCTCCTCAAGCCTGCCCCAAATAAAATACCAAAGGTCCACATGTTGTTACAGTTATTCCTAAATCTTGGCAACACTAAACCAGTGGGTCATGGGCATTTGGGAGCCTGCTGGGTTCCTTAGATAACACCTATAATTCAAGACTTTTTTGACGATGGAATGAAAATTTCTTTGTTGAATTAGTAATCCTAGCTAAGAAAATCCCTTTGGCATTTCTTCCACGAATCCCCTCTGTCAGATGAAATTGCCCAAGTGGCCTGGAACTACTGTGCATATGGAAGTGGGTGTGTACCGTGGGTGCAGGCATGTGCACAGGTGTGGGGTTTGTGGGTACAGGTGCATGCACAGTTGTGGGGTGTGGGTGCGGATGCAGGAGTGTGCACAGGTACAGGGTGAGTTGGTGCAGGCACGTGCATGGGTGCAGGCATGTGCACAGGTACACGGTGCATGGATGCGGGCGTGTGCGTGGGTACAGTTGTGTGCACAGGTGTGGGGTGCATGCAGTTGTTCTTAGTCTTATGAATTTAGGGTCTTCATTTGTATTTGGGTATGTATAAAAATTAGATTCATGCAAGGCTCTGCTACTTAGTTTCATGGAGTATGTAAATTTAGAAGACTAAGCATTAGAGTCAAAATGGGGAACAATGTGAAGGTTTGGTACTTGCCCATTAGCTAACCGCCTGACTGGCTTGTGGCTCCCCACATCAGAGATCGATTTAGTTATCACATGTCATTAACAGCCACTTTTCTTCCCTTTTTTTCTTGGTCTGGATTGTGGAGGGGAGGCTATGAAACCCCTAGTCTGTGACCTCTTAAAAAAATTACCATCTTAGATGTAGTCAAACCCTGGTCATCTGTAGACAACTGGAAGAGGGATATAAAGATTCAAGGAGAGTGTTTAATGAATGAATGAATCTCTTTGGCTTAGTTTTTGACCCCACGGGCTAAGATGTGATGATAGATCTCTACCCCATTAGGCACTGCATAGAGGGGTATAGTGAGTTGAGTTTGACCAAAGGTAGTATTTACTTGAGGCTGCTCAATTCTAGCAAAACTCTAGGTTACAGACCAAACATCTACCACACTGTCCCCACATTAAAAGCTACAGACCTTGCAAGGCAGTCCATAGCTTGTGTCTGCAGACCTAGAGTTCAGTTTGAGCTAGAACTTTAAAAGCATAGTTCACTCTGAGAGCACAAATTATTATTGTTATCTAACTTTTTTAAAACTTGACTTTTTTTATTAGAAGCAAAACCTGGCATTAATTCTTCAGTGCACTGGACCATCCATTTCTATGGGGTCAGTGATGAGTGAGCTCTCTGTGGTCAGGAGTTTCTTACTTCTTGTTCTAGTGGGCAACATGCTGAGTAATTTCTGTTCCTCAACCCATGGTCATTCCATGAACAGCTACTCTCCTGTATTATTTTCATGTTACTCCTTCATCCCAACACCAATGCCTCATCTCCAACCCAGTGCCGACAGACTTGACCTCTTAAATGTGCTGTGGATGTATCCTTAGATATATATGATACTTTAAAATAAATGTTTGTGATACAAATCTACATAAATTGCATTATTTACAGGCTTTAAATATAGTCCTTTTAATTTTCTGCTGCAGATCACAAACAGATCAGTAGGACACCATAAACTCTCTCCCTTACCCCGCCCATGTGTTTCCCTCCAAAGAGTCATCACCTGTTGGGCAACAAAAGTGCCAACTCTCAGCCCAGCTTCGTGCCATTCAAGAGTGGCAAGCCAGTCTAGACTTCCTAGAAATACTATCTTTCAGCTCACTTTTGGCAAGTGTAAACTTTTTTGCTGGATTATGTCAACAGATATATACATTTCTCATCCTCATAGAACTAGAGTGGTGCTGGCATTTCTTTAGGCAGGGAAAATAAAGACTGTCTCTTGGCTCATTAAAATTTTTGCTCATTAAAGATGTCGGAGGGCTTTTGATTCTCTGGGGTGAGACTTGGTGACATACATACACTGTCAGTGGCTATTTTGGGTTCCCTGCTTTCAGGCCTGTCTTTGCTCTTGGATGAGCCCCTTGTGGCTTTCAAAAGAACTAGCAAGTCACTTATAAATAGAAGGCTTGTGTCTGTGTGTCTGCATGCTCTTACTCTGTGGGACGCGTCACCCACATTGCAGTGGGCAGTGAACTATTTTTCACTTCTTTGAAGAGGGAAGAAGAAAGATTAAGAATGCTTTTTCTCTTTTTGAGATAACCCACATCTCTACACATGCCCACACAAATCTGTGTAAATGAACTTGACATTTTCAAAGACCTTACCTTACAGTCTCCTTGTGAAAGCACAGCCAGTGACCTGTTGTTTCAAGAAAGAAGCAGTTATCTCATGGACTTGTTACAGAAGGTTCAAGGATCAGAAGGTGGCCTGTCTGCGCAATAGACCTTCAGAGGGAGCTCTGAGAGCTGAATTTCCTTATATGAACAGTGCCTCTTGGGAAAGTGGCCTTAGCCAACTGACCAGTGGCCTCCAGGACTTGGCTGTTTACATTCTGTCTTCACTTTCCTTCCCCACTAGTGGAAACTGTTGGGACCAGCAAGTCTGAACTAATCATTCTAACAAGGGAGGGGAAGAGAATGATTTGAAAAGTGAAATTGTGAATGAGTGTCTCCAGAAGGAAACCATGAGAATGTCTGATTAGGTTCCTGCACTGATGATATATTTCTGACTCTTTCCATTACCTCAGAGCCCACAGGTGTGGGCTTCTCCCCTGCTCCCACTTGTTACCTTATTGTTCAAACATCGTTCTACTCCCTTGATTTCCTTATGCCCTCATCTTCAATAACCAGGGCCAAATTTCTTCCTGCCCATTGAAAATGTGTAAGCAGCTGTGAATTCCCACTGCAATCAATGTAAAAACTGCAGTGTTACTACTACTGAAAAATTAGTCTAAGCATCTAGCTGAAAATATCGGTAATAGGGATTTGTAATTATGGACTGTACATTCTGGAAAACTCTTATTATACTGCCATGTTTCTGAAGCAGACAGATAATGGCAGGATCAGCATTCCTTACATTACTAGTTGATGGAGATTTGTATGGAGCTAGCAGGAACTAGTAGGTAGTAACAGCCGCCACATATTTGGGGTCCTTTTCTTTTTTTACATAAAATAAAGGTGATGAGTGTTATGGTCTGGTAAAGTATCTTATTTTGAAGCAAGACATGGGATCTGAGAGCCCATCAGGCCACAGATAACATGAAAAGTACAGTGGGAGAAGTCCATTTTCAGAAGCCTGTGGACATGATCTGCAAGAGCACACAGCTCATATAGATGCGTTTGCATACTGAGGGGTGATTATTATTTGGTGGTTGTCCAAGTGAGAGAGACAGGATAACAGACTGTGAACGTCAGGGCCGATGGTGGTGCTTAGCCTGACTTTCTGTTTGGTTAATGTGCTTGTAATGGTCTTGGGGAAACTGTATTATTCCCCCAGTGGGGGTTAACACCATGCAGTGATGTTTCCCCCTTCCTGTCTCCTTTGCAGATGAGAAGCCCAAGGTAAACCCCAAACTTTACATGTGTGTGTGTGAAGGCCTGTCCTGTGGGAACGAGGACCACTGTGAAGGCCAGCAGTGCTTTTCCTCGCTGAGCATAAACGATGGCTTCCACGTCTACCAGAAGGGCTGCTTCCAGGTGTACGAGCAGGGCAAGATGACCTGTAAGACCCCGCCCTCCCCTGGCCAAGCTGTGGAGTGCTGCCAGGGAGACTGGTGTAACAGGAACATCACGGCCCAGCTGCCCACCAAAGGTTCCCATGGACTTTCTATTTCTAGATCAAGCCTTTTTGTTACTTTTGTCCTGATGCCGTGTGGGTTAAAGATATAAGAAGCTACAGGCCTTTCCTCCTACTCTTTGAAACAGAGGTAATGGGTGGCAAGCAGGTAGCTAGCTCTAGGTAAGGGAAAGAAAGACACAGATTTTCAGAATCTAAAAGGAAGGTGGATATTTTTGGGAAAGCAAGCAAGGTGATGTCCACCTTGGGGAACAGTGTGGCTGGCCAGACCTCTCTTAGCAGTCATGAGCAGGTGAATAGCTCCTGATACCCGTTTCTACTGAGGACCCGTGATGTCATAATTTCTGAAACACTTCTTAGTAAATACGCATCTCTATGTTAAGTGTGTAGGGAAGAAACGGAAAATAAGACTCCAGTGACTGAGTTAAATACTTTTGCTTCTTTACAAGGAAGCAGACAAAGAAAGGCTCACTAACCTTTTCTCCCATGTTTGATTCCCAGTGATCTGTCGCTGACACTTCAAACTGGGGTCCATGTCACATAAAGCTTGTTGTTTATGTGGAATCTTCCCTGTATCATATTCAGTATGGATTTAGTATCCGTTTGGAAATCGGGCCTCCTCTGAAGTCATTTCCTCATAAAATGAGCCCTCGAGTGTGATCTCAAAGTCCCTACAAATATTAGTGTACCTTAGTCTTTGAGACTCACTCCAAGCCAAATTTACTCTCTGAATATATAGTGATTTTTTAACAGGCCCAGTTATTTAATTGTGCATTTGCAGATGAAATAACAAACCAGAGAGTAGAGTGGGAAAGGCTACTTGGACCATCCGCTGCCAGAAATGTCAGCCAGCAAGGAAGAGAAAAAAAAAAACTCATACAAGATCATGTCATCACAATTTTTGTTAGGATGATGACCTTAAAGAAAAGGTTATATTCTGATAAGCAAATAAGTTTGAATAATAAAAGAAGATTTTTAAAAGAGATCAAAGTATTTTAGTTGTTAAAACTAAAAGGATACTTGATGGAATAAACTTTGTGAGTTAAACTTTTAATAAGAACGGATGGATATGAAGAAACACCTGCATTCACACGAAAATTATATGTATGCCAAAGTTCCTGATCTGAAGAACACTCTGCTAGACTCTGAGTTGAAATATAAAATGTGTTTTTTTTAACTTAAGGACTTTCTAATTTAATTAGGGAGGCACAATATTTATATAATGTTGTATATAATTAGTTTTATACTTTATCGTACAAATGACATGTACCATGGAGTATTGTGTGCCAAGTCATTGATTCATTTCGATTTGGGAAGTTAATGGAAATGTATAAAGGAAGTCAGGCTTGAGACGGGATAGTTGAGGTGGGTAGGGACCTGGGAGAGAGTAAGGCATATGTGGGGAAGGACAGGGCTTGGTGGTGACATAATGTCACAAAGGGCCTGAAATTCAGCTATGATTACTGTTTTTGGGCCTTCTGGTTATGGACTTTTGCTATCCAACTATGAAATTTTGACTTAACTCACTAGGCACAAGTAGAAAATCTCTGTGAATATTTGCTTCTTTGTGAATATTTGCTTGAGTGGTACGTGAGTGTTTGAGTGCACAGATGTTTGAATGGATAATGTAATACTTAATGTCTGTATAAAGGAGTGAGTCAGTGAGTGAATGATTTGAGTGAGTGAATGAAGTTGAACAAGTAAGAACAGATGAATGAACTGGTTCCCAGGCTGAGATCATGAGGTAAAAAGATCAGTGATAATTGAGCAATGAGACATCTAAGATACCTCAAAGAGAGAGTCAGTAGATTGGGCAATTTGCTTTTAACCTGGGTAGCACTTTCCCGCTCGAAGAGTGTAGCGTGATGTTTGTAAGGGCTTGTTGATGAAACACTCTTACAGATCAAATCCAAGTTAATAAGAAAAGTACCAAGGATTTGTATATTACTTTATATTTTAAAAGCACTTTCGTATACATATACTAATACAGTTGATTCCCAGTGGAATTTTTTCAAGCTCCAGTTGTGACTAAATGTCGTAATGGTTTAAAATGACCAGCCACTGGCTAAGTGTTAGGAAGTATTTTAATTTTAACACTGTGGCTTAGGAGGCTCAGTGGTCAGGATCAGGCAGGAGGTACTTGTTAGGTACTGGTTATGAGTAATAAGTAAACAGTGATCCTTAGAGCCATTGCCCTTTTTGCCCCCATCTCCAGGGAAGTCCTTTCCTGCAACACAGAATTTCCATTTGGAGGTCGGCCTCATTATTCTGTCCGTGGTGTTCGTGATATGCCTTCTAGCTTGCTTGTTGGGAGTGGCTCTCCGGAAATTCAGAAGGCGCAACCAAGAACGCCTCAATCCCAGAGATGTGGAATACGGCACCATCGAAGGGCTCATCACCACCAATGTTGGAGACAGCACTTTAGCAGTGAGTTTGTGACCCCAGGGAAACCCAAGCATAGCAGAAATGGCTGAAGATGCTGTCTTATTTCAGGCATGAAATGCTAACCAGTAACTGTTGGCTGGACAATGTGCACACATACCCCTGGTCACTTAAGCCCTCAGCAATTATGTGCAGGCACCTATATGAGACATTTACATTCAACGAGGGAGGGGATTTATTTTAGTAGATCCTTGGTAGTTATTTTTCATTTGGGATTAAGAGAAAAGAGACGGAGAATGGTTGCCTATACCTTTTGGGAGTGCTTGGATTTTTGGTACTCAGTTACTCTATTTTTAGCAATAAAAGTAGTTCCAAAAAAAGTACCTTTTGCTTAATATTAAAAGTCACTTTCCCCAGTAATTTAAGACTTTAAAACTTGACATCCAAAAAAAGCAGTTATTAAAATTGTGGTGCTCCTGTGCTGCCCCCTTGTGGAGCATAGTCACTCGCTTAAACCGGTGCTGGCCAGTAGAAATATGTGTGCCACATAGGTAATTGAAAATTTTCTATTAGCTACCTTTTAAAAAGTTAAAAAAAAAAAAAGCACAGGTTCTATTAACTTTAACAATATATTTAACTTAATATAATTATTATCATTTAAACATATAGTCATAAATAATTATTAGTGAGATAGTTTACATTCTTTTTATTTGAACTAAGTTTTCAAAGTCTGGTGTTTTACACTTAAGCATATACCAGTGCAGACAAGCTGCATTTCACTTGCTCACTGTCAGCACGGGGCTTGTAGCTACCCTAATGGACAGACAGGACAGGGTTAGAAACCACTGTATTTACATGTTTTAAAGTTACTCTTTTGTACTTTTTTAAATGATTAATGACATTAAAAAGTGTCTTCCTTTTTTTGCTTTTTGGAACTGTCAATGTTAATTTTAAAGAAACTTTAAACTTTCAGTGAGAAAAGGGAATCACTTGCTATAAATAGGTTGCCATAAGGTGCAAAAGAGAACAGTAATAACGCTATGAAGAGATACCGTGCTGAATCTGATGCATACTCTGAAAAACGGCAAAGATTAGTGAGTGTTGGAGGTGTTAATGACACGCCACTACCAAATCGAGACTCTCCTTGTCATACTATGATGAATTGAAAGACGATCAAGCTAATAACTTTCTAATGTGATCCAATCTTATTTAACACTGTGACTGTATGTTACCTGAAATCATCTTGTGTTAAGTTTTGTTCTGCTAGGCAACGAGCTTAAAGCATCTGGAAGTTCTGCAATTAGGCCTGCCTTGCAACTTCCTTTTTGCTGGAGGAGACTTGTCCTTGCTAGTATTTGTAGCTCAGGTGCTACAAATTGTTCATGTTGTTCAAACACTTGGCGATGGCTGATACAGGCTGGGAAATGTCCCAAGCTACTGCTTTCCCCATCTCTGCGCCATGAGTCAAGGTTACTTTTTTGTGTGGAGAAGGGGGAAAGCACTTTGCTTCAGCTTCCTTTGACCTCCTTGTTTGAATTGTGGTGGAGCAAAACTGGGAAAAGAGGAGATAAGGACATTCCATTTCAAAAAGTAGAAGAAATACAGTTTTTCTTGCGACATTACTCAGAAGTTTATTTCAAATTTTAAGGGGAAAATTAAATGAGTTTATTGAGTTAGTAGTAAGATGGTACCAGGCAGAATCCTGACAAAGCTTAACAAAGAAAGGCTCTAAAGTAGATGAGTCAGAACTTTGTTCTCCAGAACTGCTACCAGAGCTAATCACAATGGGCAATGACGGGAATATCTTGTGTGATTGCTTACATCATTTTGAAAGAGGAACGGGAGTATATGCTAAAGTAGTCTTCTCAAGTCAACCACATTAGGTGACAGTATATCACGTAATAACAGTAGAGAGCCCTGTTTAAAACAAACTGTCATTGTTGGTCTACATACTTGCTTTTTTAAGTGATCATTTATATGACTCAAAAAAAGCATGCCTTACTAAGCATCTCCCCTATGTTGAAAAAGAAGGCTTAGGATCCAGGAGCTGAAATACATATTGTTAGTCTTCAGTTGATATTCCCCTTACCTCCCTTAGGTCTGTGAAGGAGGTTTAGAACCAGGATTATGCATTAAGAAAACACAACAAACACATTAGTTTAATCTTCAGAATTATTCTCTCAAAAAACATGGAATAAATAAAGAGAAAAAGAGTAGCAAAAGAGATGGTTAGTGAGATGTGAAACTGTGCTTCATCTACATTCAGTTTCTTGTTGATAATCCGTTTTGTGGTTTTTAAGGATTCTGCATTTTTGCCTTTGGATGATCAGATTTTGATAATTTTGATGATCAATGGTACTTCCCAGTGGTGCTCAGAGTAAATAAAAGAAGATGAAATTCAGACAAATCAATGCATTACTTTAACAGGCTAGTTAAACTGTTTGGGAAAAGATGAGCTTTGGGAAACGTTAGCTCAACATTACCGCAGCCTTCCCATCAGCACGGGACAGTATGTTTATTACAGATATTCCATTCCAGACACAAAATGACTTCTGCCTCTTGGCTTGTGCTGAGAGTAGGAAGGAAAAATTTATGAACCAGCTAATTGGGGATATTTTTTCACAATATGTTCATTTTTAGAAGTCAATTAGCATAGTTTTATGTTTTTAATGAAAGTCTTAGCTTTTCTTTAATTTGTGGGCAATTCACATTAAGAAATGACATGTAGGTATTATTTTTGTGGCCCTTTTTTCCCTCACCTATCTAAAAGGTAACCTCTACCAGGTAACCCCTCTTTCTTGAGTGTAGCAGTTTGATGGCCATATGGCTATTGGAGTCTTTCCAATACAAACGATCTTAAGAGTCATTTGTTCCTTATTAGAATTCCTTAGTTGGCAGGTCAACTAACATGGATCCTTTTAGAGAGGCTTATGAGAAGAGCAGAATATGGTCACTTATGCCCAGCTCTTAGCCTTGAAGATCCTTCCCCTGTTTTTCCACTGCTCCCCTTGTGCTCAGCCCTGCTTCTGGGACTTCTTATTTTATGTTCGACTTTATCCACTCAGCTTCTTTCTTTATATATTTTATTCTAAAACTCTGAGTACAGGAAAGGACGACTTATTTCTCTCAGGAAAACCTATCACATATTAGGGAAAGGGCCAGTTTCCAGTTTTCTAAGAAATAAAAGGACTCCACTTCTTTAGTGGGACTTTCCATACACGTGAACGGGCCACATGTCTAGGATCCCTGCCCCCATGAGAGTTGCAGCATGCATGCTCATACTCTAAAGCCGTTGCTGTTCCTCAATGGTGTCTTTTCCCTGTCTTGAACCACAGGACTTACTGGACCATTCGTGCACATCGGGAAGTGGCTCTGGTCTTCCGTTTCTGGTACAGAGGACAGTGGCTCGTCAGATCACACTGCTGGAGTGTGTCGGTAATTCCATTTCCCTTCCTTTGCAAGTTACATGCAACATTAGCTGTGGGTCTACAAGCAGGCTGGAACTTGGCAGATCTGCTTCTTGTTGACTGTTGCTTGTTAAACATGTTAAACATCCGGGGAGGGTGTGGCTACTTTTCTCTGCTTGGAGGAGACTATGTTGAAGCCCCTGAACTTGCTGAAGTTCTTGTCCAAGGACTCTGTCTCTGGTTAGTATAAAGAATGCATAGTGAAAAGCTTTTAGCTGCAAGTTGACCCTTTGGGATGATAGGAATGCCTGAAAAGTGAATTAATCTGGCTTCTTCTGACTATAGGCGTTGAGTAATCTGAGGTAAGTAGGCATTTGGACAATAAATTTGCTTATCCCTCTTGCTTGTCTCCTGCCTTTAAAAATAATGAGATCACTTTACCAAAGCTTTCTTTATAACTGCTTTGTATAAACAAGAGCTATGTGCATTTCTTTATGGCCTCTCACATTTTCCCATATAGGAAGATATATATGTATCAATGTAATCAAAGTGTGTATGTAATTTGTGTTCCTTTTTTCAGCTTTAAGCTCACACATATTTCTGTGTAGTTGTACACATCACAAATACTTGAAAAGATTATGTAATAATAGTTTATTGAATGATAATTTAACTTTGAGAATACTACTTGAAAAAGTTTCTGCACACATTGCTTCTTTCTTTTCAGTGTTGAGACTGAATTCCCAGGAATTGCAGTGCCTGGGTTAGAATTTGTGACTTTTTAATGGCTTGTTTTATGTATTGTTGATTGCCTTCTAGGAATATGGTACAAAATGCCAAAATGTGTTTTTGGTTTTTTTTTTTAAGTCCTGGTTTTTATTGGTTTTACTTTCACTTGATGGGTATTTGCAAGTCATGTGATAGTATTTATTAATTTCTCCTATAGATGGCAGGCAGGCCACAGGAGCAGCAATGGGTGGCAGTGTCCCCATACTCTGTTCCTAGTTCTCCAGGTTTCTCTGGGCCTGGCTCTGCAGCTCCTGCTGTCCCATCTTTTGCTTTTGGAAGGTGGCTGGCCATCATAAGCTGCCTTTGCCACTTGGCTGCCTTCTAACTTTTCTTGTTCTTTTCATAGAAAGCACTACACCCCAACCTAGTGGTGGGAGGGGGGTAGGCAGAGGTAGTAAGAGCAGCGACTGCCACCTTCAGGCGTACAGACGGCCAGCAGGAGCCTATTGCCATTGCTTTCTCTTAGTCCGCAGCTGCTGTGACCATTTTGAACCCCACTTCACATGTCTCCTCCAAGTGAACTGTGATTAGAGAAAAGAAAGATGGTGAAGGCCCAGATGGGCTCATTGCATACAACCCTTATGCCAGCTAACATCCTATTTGCTTACAGAGAAGGGTATCTGGTAGTGGTGAGAGGGCAGCGAATGGGCATTTACCTGTCTCACTTACACCTGCCCTTCTGTCCCATGGCCATCGTTACTCACAGAGCAGTAGATTTCAAGACCAGTCCTCAGAGATTGATTGCCCCAGGGTCCAAAGGGCAAAAGAATATTGCACTTTTAAAAATAAACGTTTCTGGTTGTATAGATACTCTTTAGCAATTTTAGAAATAGTATAAATTCAGTTATGTTGCATTTTGTTGGTTTAGTGCTAAAGACTAATAAAAGCAATGCCTTTTTCAGTAGCTTGCAGCTAGTGTTCATATGGTACAGCCTTGAATAAAAATGTATGTGATGAATGGCTTGGATAGTACGTTACCATTTTTGGTTCAGAAGCATGGGAAGTTGGACTAGATCAGTCCTCACCAGATGGTGATCAGTGAACCCCAAATTTCAGTTACCTTAGGGAGCCCCTTTTGAGGCTCCATGGTTAGGACTTTTGGACAGTTCTGCTTCTGTTTTTAGGGACTTTTGCATAAGGCTGCATTTGCAAAAATCACTTGACAACTTAAAAGCATTTGAAAACCACTGAAGTAGGTTTCTATTTTAATTCTGTCTACTTACAGTGACACCCATCTCTGTATTCTTTAAAAAAGGATTTAAGGCAACTTTATAGTGATGTCTATAATTCTCTGGGACATTTTTCGCTCCTTCCTAATGAAAATATGAGGGGAAAAGGCAAATAAAGATACAGAATAGAACCAAAGGCAGGAAAAGCTTAGCATATGGCTTTGTAGCAGCTGATTTTGTAGTAAGGCCCTAGTCTTGAACTAAAGATGCTGAGCAATTGCTATGACCTCATTAAAGTTATCCCTGCACTAAATACTATTTTTGTGACCTGACAGTGACCCCCAGTAAGCACTTACAGGCCACATATAACATCCTTTGGGGTTAATCATTGATATTTAACAGGAACATCATTTATTGTAAGGGAATCTAGAATGAGCTGTTTTGATGCTGTTTCAGGACCTAGTCACCTGAACAGACGTGCTCCTTCTCTCCATGTTTGGGTTCTCCGTGGCTTTGTTGTTCAGCAAAGAGCTGTATTCCTATCTATGCAGGTGGTCCTGCAGCTGCTTGTTACAAGCCACAATGCCCAGCAGCCACTTGCCTCTGTAGGAAGCTCTGCTGCCCGCAGGTTTATCTCCTGCTGCGTAGTTATCAAGGTGCAGCGCAAGTCTTTAGCCTTAATTACACCCCATGTCCATCCCCATAGTCTCCTGGTAATTACCTCCTCCTCCCAACCCCCCTGATCTGAGTACCTATAATTAAGAAGAAGAATGGAAGAGGGATTTGTAGTTGACAGACTGACATTTGTGTTGCTGCTGGGGTGGGGGTGGGGGGTGAGGAGCAGGCACCCCACAGATCAGATCACCACTAGAGTCGGCCTGTTTTTGAAAGTGTCTTCTCCAAGGGGCGTTCTCCATGTAGACCACTTGGCGCTATCACACCAGCTAACGAGCAAGTACCCATGCCGCGTACAAATCAGAACTGTTCTGGGATTATGTGTTGAAGACCTCACAAATCCTCTATTGAAAGAGATCCTCCAAGAAATCCCTTAGGATCTCCAGCGGCAATGCTTGTTGATCTCCTACACAGCGCTGTTTTTTGTTTGTGTTTGGGGTTATATATATATTTTTAATTCTCCCAAACATACCTTCAGATTTAATAGGCACCTTTGTAAAAAGTATAAATGCATATGTAAATATCCAAATCTGGACTCCCCCAAAATGTCTTTGTTGATCCTGTGTGAAGGGAAGGAATCAAGTGAGCCATTCAGTGTAGCCACATGCACTTTTTCTTGACTTTCAGCACCACGTTGAAATCTGATCATCTGTACCATTTTCTAAGTTTTACCTTCTTGTGCTTTTGAAAACCATACGTGGCTCATACCTTTTCATAGAGAAATTTAAATGGGAGCTTTGTAATTAGCAGCTAATTGTACAATGCAGACAGTAAGGGTGTTTAATTTGATCTTGCAATAGGGTACTTAGGAGGGGCAGGTTCCACCTTATTTTTGTATTTCTTTCCAGGCGAAAGGTTGTAGGTACAGCCCCAAACTGAGTTCTCCTGAGTAAACACGAAGGGTTTAGAGTTGCAGGCATGAGGTTTATTGGCTCCCTCTTTTGTCCCACTCTCCATGTCACCTGTGTGTGTCTTTCCGCAGGGAAAGGCAGGTATGGTGAGGTGTGGAGGGGCAGCTGGCAAGGGGAAAATGTTGCCGTGAAGATTTTCTCCTCCCGGGATGAGAAGTCGTGGTTCAGGGAAACAGAATTGTACAACACTGTGATGCTGAGGCATGAAAATATCTTAGGTAAGTACAAGGATGACCCCTTCATTAATTTTATCTAGAAAGAAGTAATTGTCTGCCTTAGTCCCCTGTGATTTGGTGTCTGCATTTGCAGGTCTCTCCTGAAAACCCATTGAGGGATCATTGGCATTTATGTACTGTTCAGTTTTCTTTTTAACACTCATCTCAAATTTAAATTTGCAAAGAAGCTGAGTTTGAAGATTCTCTGCAGGATGAAAAGGAAATCATTATTGCTAATTCTTATCCTGCTGGTCAATATTTAAACAACAAGAATTTGCCCCATATTGTTCACTTTCAGGCTTCCTCGGGTGTTCTACCTACTCCACCCTCTTTGAATATTTATTACTTGAATCGAACTAAGAAAGATCTTTGGACGATTTCCTAGAGATTCACAGCTCCCAGGGACACCATAATTAAATGCACTTTCCTTCAAACGAGGCATCATTTCTAAAGCCCAGATTTACAGAGGGATTTAGCATACATTTTAATTTGAAAACTGAAGCTTAGAAACATTTGTGACATATGGGAAGAGCCCATTGAAATACTGGTATGTAAGTATAAAGGGTGAGAATATTCCTTGTGCCCGTTGACTTGTTGACTTGGATGTTTTTGGCAAGTTTCTCTAAATGTGTTTATACGTGTATGATGAATGCTCCCCAAGTGCTTCTTTAATAGTGGATATAAAGTTTATATAGAATTTGACTCTGCAAAGGATGGTGTCAGCCACTTCATGGCAACTGGATTCCATTTGGCTCGTAGGAAGGCCATTGCTGGAATTTATTTCTATTCCCATATGGGCAATTGAGTATTAAACCTGACTCAAGTTGTCTGCATGTAATGGGTTCGCAGTGGTCCAAAGCTTCGCTAGATACGCGGTGTGTTTCATCTCAGCATTGTCTCGATGTCTGTGTGATTTTCCGCTCCTCCCTTACCCCGGGGGCCCTAGCCATCACCTAATCCTCCTCATTTTTACTGTTGCTGTCCGTTTCCTTTTCCCAGTCTGTCCTGCTATACCATGTGCTCTTCCACTGGGGTGCCCAGGCCTGGTTCCTGGGGAGTCACCAGTGAGAGGCTCATAGGGACACTGATTACCTCACTTAAAATTTGGGGTTTTAGTTCTTGAGGAAGGCTGACTTTGGCTGTTAAATGAGGCGTTTGCCCTGATCACTTTCTCTCCCTGCTGTGGACACATCTGGTGGCTGTGCCCGAATTCCACCCCGTAGGTACCTGGGCAAACTCTTGTTTAACCTTCGCTAGCAGTACAGTGCTTCGACTCAAAATGCAAAAATCCCATAAAATACTCTAGCATTTTGAAGCAAACATAGCTGTATCATTGACATTTGAGAGAGAGAGTTAAAGAAACAGTCCTGCTGATTTCAGTTATTTTTCCTGACGGTCTAGAGCATAGTGAATGGGACAGACAGAATCCTTCTCTAAGACCAAGGGGCTTTAGGGAGGGTAAGTGAATAAACATTTATTTGTTATGTATGTCTGTATATATGTACTTATGTATTTATTTAATCAGAAGCTGCTCTCCCTTGGGCAAAGAAATCAGTAGAGGCTACCTAAATATATAACAGTAATTCTTTTTGAGTGATATTTTATAGTTTGGGATATTAATATTTGAGAAGTCATTAAAGGTTAATATCATTTGATTTAAAATGATAAAGCAGAAACCTTTTCCTTAGTAAAAATAACGAATGTCTCAATACATATTTCGGTTCATATTATGGAGGCTAAGGGTTCCAAGAGAAACAGCTGCAGGCAGACGAAGACAGACCAGAGTGTAGGGAGGCAGTGGGAGGGGAAGATGGGCTGTGGGAACCAGCTCAGAGGGACCAGGAGGGAGAAAGAGGGCAGGGGGCAAGGTGCGGAAATGGTACTCAGTTCGCTGTACAGATGCCCCATGGGTACAAATGTCAACTTGTCTTTCTCTGAGTAGAAGTCAGCTTGTTTGGGGGCCGTGCCGTATAGTGGGTGAGAGCATGGGTTCCAAAGCCGACTGTTGGGGACCATTCCTGACCTTAACGTCAGTGATATCCTTCACGCAGCTGTTGAGGACTGCTCGCGGAGCGCTCGGAACTGCACCTGGCACGTGGCTAGTCCTCAGTAATTGTTAGTTGCTTCTGTTGTTGATCTGATGATCAAATAGGAGGCCTCTCTTTGTTTCCAGAGCCTTCCTATGCAAGGTACGGGGTACCAGAACAGCTGGCGCCAAATTTGCAGTGGGTAGCGACTTAATAGCTGTGTAATCCTTAGCATCTCCCAGCAGTAACTTCATTATTTGTAAGATGAGTATAATGATATCTGTCTGTCTGGTCGATTGAGAAAAATTCCATGAGAAAATATATGTGAAAGTGACACAGATTTTATATAAAGTTTTATGCAAGTATAAGGCATTTTTCTGTATTCTCCCTTTCTGTTATACTTTAAAAAAAAATTCTTTAATATAAATAAGTCCCAAACTTCACTGTATGCATCTCCATAAGGTGTGTATGTGTGTGTGTATACATATATATGTATTATATGAGGCATATATGCTGTAGTGTATTTTATATACATATTAAAAATATATATTTACATATGTAAAATGCTAGGCAAGTACCTTTGGAGCACGAAAGGCAAGTGCACATATCAGTTTATTTCTAGGTTAGGAAGTACCTCTGACTTTTAGGGTTCCTTCAGTGTATTCAAAAGTCTTCTTAGAATGTTTCAAAAATAGCTCTTCCTGCCTCTTCATCTTTATCTGTCAGTATCTCATTTCTTCTCAAGACCACTTCAGTTGTCACTTAAAAAATATTGTATTTATTGATAGTTGACATGCAGTATTAGTCTCATCTGCACACATAGTACTGTTGTCACTCTCTGATGGAAGCCTGCTGTGACATTGATGAGTCTCTCCTCTGGACTCATGTTGCCCTTGGCAGATGTATATTGTACCCTTTTCACATTATAGTGTAATTTTTCCTTTTTTTAATGTCTTTTTTCTAACTAACACTATCACTGTGGCTTTCCTGTGTGACTAACAAAAAAGCATTGTAGGTGCTTGTTGTATTTGATGGATTCCTTTTTTTATTTGTTCAGTCGGTCAGTCATTTAATATAAACTCACTCCTTGATTTTACATCTGAGCAGAGAGAAACCAGAGAGCCTGAATGAGTGGGCCACTATTACCCAGCAAATCACAGGCAGAGTCAAGACTAGAGTGTGTGTGTCTAGGTACTAATTTTTCTGATCTTTTGGGTGGTTAATGAATGACCTATGCTTGGAATAGGGACATGATGAACTATTTATGGGTAAACACAAAGATACTATTCCTACTTAATACAATGTATTTTGTATTTTAAATTTTTTAAAGGATTATTTACCATGAAATGAATATGAAAAGTTCTTATTCATTACCAGTGCCTTCCTAAGGAATAAATACTATTGTTTTTCTCTTTTGATCCTTCTGTAAACCTCTTTTCACAGCAGTTAAATTATTTTTTATAACTATCATATGGGTCACTACTGGAAGTAAGGAAATTATACTAAAAATTATGTCGTGGAATTCTCCCATGTGTGTTATTTTTGTTCTTGCTCTCTCCAGGCTTCATTGCTTCAGACATGACCTCAAGACACTCCAGTACGCAGTTGTGGTTAATCACACATTATCATGAAATGGGATCGCTCTATGACTATCTTCAGCTCACCACTCTGGATACGGTCAGCTGCCTGCGAATAGTGCTGTCCATAGCTAGTGGTCTCGCCCATTTGCACATAGAGATATTTGGGACCCAAGGGAAACCAGCCATTGCTCATCGAGACTTAAAGAGTAAAAACATCCTGGTTAAGAAGAATGGACAGTGTTGCATAGCAGATTTGGGTAAATTTTTTTAAATGTTTTTTAATTACTGTTTTTACTTCATTTGTATTCCAGTGTTTAGCCAGGTTGCATCCTCACCCACAAACTCCCAACATTTTGTTATGAGAATTTGAAACGTGCAAATTGAAAAAACTTCATAGTAAATGACTGGATGATATCCACTACTTAGATTCTCCTATTGCCATTTTACTGCTCTTAAGCTTTATCACATATCTGTTCATTCCCCATTCATCAGGCCATCTTAATCTTTGACTCTTTCCAAAATAAATTACCAGTGAAAGAGCCCTGCCCTGCAAAGACTCCAGCATACACACCACTGTATCTTTCAGTACTAGAGTCAGTTGTTTTTTTTTCTTTTCAGTTAAAATTTAAATTTCATGTGAAATAAACAAATCTTCAGTGTACATTCCCAGAGTTTTGACAAATGCTGTAAAACCCAAATCCCTATCAAAATTCAGACCTTCCCGTTACCCTAGAAAATCACTTCGTGCTTTTCAGTCAGTCCCTGACCCAGTCCACCCCTCAGAGGCAAAAAAGTTGCATTCTGTCTTCACAAACCTTTACACAAAGAAGGTACACAAGTAAATAACCTGTGGAATGAGTTTGTCTTAAAAATGGTATCTAAAGTTTCTTTTTTCCTATAACTATAGCAAAATTATCAAGACAGAGGAAAAAAATCTCCAAATCAATTTATTATTTGCCCCACTGGGATCTATCATTCTTAAGATGTTAGGGTTATGGTCAACATATTAATCATTAAATGTACATGTGTAATTGTACATCGTAATACGGTTTTAATTATTGTAATTTGCAGTACATTTAATTGTACATTTAGTTAATGATTGTAATTGCAATACATTTAATTGCACTATGAATAAGATTGTTTTCATTTATGGTTACCTATATAAAACTGCTTCCTAGACCTCTTGGATATTGGCTGAATAATTATGCTAATGTGAATTGAATTGTAATATTCACATTATAAATTTCAATGGACTATTGAGAGTCCTCACTTGATTAAAAATGGTTTATATTCATATCACTGTAGTTATTGTTAGACTGATAAAGGTTTAGACAATATTCGCTTCAATCATATAAAATGTATTTTTGTTTTCAAACAAGGGATTTGACATGTCAGGAAAATTTACTTCTTTTGAATTCCTTTAAAGTCTTGGTATTTATGTTGGGAGATTATTTTACAATGTTTTCCAAGTATGAGAAGAAAAATAGTTAAGATAGCATTGAAAGGGCATGGTCCAAAAGATTTTTCAGGCAGTTTCAGTGTGGAATGGAAGACTTTTACATCTGTCCCATGGCTTTTAGAGCCAGGGTGATTTGGGTTTGAGTTCTGGCTCTCCCAGTTATTCATCCTGTGTCTCTATGCAGATCTCCTCATCTATCTATTTACCTGCCCTCAGTTCTGGCATCTTACGCTTGGTGCAAGGATTGAGGGGGTATACAGCAAGGGCAATTCAGTGTTTGACACTGTGCAGTATACTTCTGTATTGCTTGAAAGTTCATAGTTCTGTGTTTATGTATTACTCATATTACTAAAAATCAATTGTGCCTACCTCACATGATTCTTTTCAGACTCAGGAATTATTATAAATGCTTGGCAAATAGTAAGCATTTAAATGGTAGCTGCTCTTACAGTACAGTGGTCTAGGGAAGATGGACAAATTGAGGCAGCTGTTGACTTGGTTTACGGGAGTTGGTGGGGAGGGTATGGGGGGAGTTTTGCAATAAGGTCAACTAATTCATTCTTCAACTATCTTTATTTTGGCTTGCAGCCTTCCAATTGGATGCATGGATTCATGCAAAAATCTGTGAAAAGGGATCATTATTCAGGGAGTTGATCTGTAGTACAGGACACAGCTCTTGCAAGACCATAATGTGTATAACTTTACACTTTATACCCAGAAGTTAAGGATCACTCATTAGAAGCCATACTGCATATAATACTATAAAAATACCTGTGTTCTATTTACTATAAAAATTTCAAACATACAGATTAGTTGAAAGAATAGGACAATGATCATTCATATCCACAACACTTAGATTCAACAGTTGGTAAAATATTGCTGTATTTGCTTTATCTATATGTGGTTGTACATACATATTTGCTAATCCATTTGAAAATAAGTTTCAGATATCACAGCACTTAACTCCTAAACACTTCAAAATGCAAACACCTAAAAATACTTTAGAATGTATCACTTGATTAATAATCACAATTTATCACATCTAAAATTACAGATAATTCTTTAATTAATCATTTAATATCCACTTTGAATTTTTTCCAGTTTTTTTAAACAAGCGTTCAGTCAGTGTTCACACATTGTGTTTGGTTGTTTTGTTTTGTCTTTTTAGTTGGTGTAATAATTATCTATTACTGAGTAACAAATTACTCTAAAACTTAGCAGCTTAAAATAACACAAATACCTTATCTCACACAGACCTTTGAAATTCAGAATCTTGAACAACTTAGTTCTGTGGTTCTGGCTCAAGGCCTCATGGGTATTACAGCCAAGTTGCCGGTCAGACCTTTAGGAACCTGATGGGGCAGGAGGAACTTCCAAGATGGTGCACCCACATGGCTATTGGCAGGAGACCTCGGTTCCTTATCACGTGGGCCTTATGAGTGTCCTCATAACAGAGTGGGCTGAGAAAGGGCAGACAGGAAACCATAATGCCTTTTATGTCCTAATTTTGAAGACACACTCCTTTCTGTCATGTTCTGTTTGATAGTCCAGCCCACACTCAAGGCCTAGGAAATTGAGCTTCAACCTCGTGCAGGGAGAAGTTTAAAAAAACTTGTGGACCTATTTTTAAACCACCACAGCTATTATCTTCGTGTTCTATTTAAACTGTACCTTTTTTATATTCTGTTATTTTAACTCTCAGTTTCTGGAAATGGTGGAGGGGTATATATGATTTAGGAAATGTTCACAGTGGCCAGAGAATCTTGGGATTGATTATAAAAATAAGAGAAAGAGGAATCAGTCTGATTTGGTTGAATGCAGTTCCTGATACCTTTGCTAGTTACTAAGGCTGAGGTAGCATATGTGCTTCTCCATGGCAATAATGGAGTCCTCACCTTGCACATTCAGAGCCACAGAGTGGGAAGAGAAGCATTCTCCCTGGATAGCTTCAGGGATTCCCAAAGGATTGTTGGGCTGCAAAGGTTTTCAGGGGCAGCTTGTTCCAGTTCAGCACTTCCATTCTTGTGAGTGTTGTAAAAACCATTGTTAGTTGGACAGCATATGCATCAAAAACTAACCCCATTCTCAAATAAATCAGGCCTATCTTGGCCTATCCTACTTTAAATAGTCATAAATTCTCTCAAATTCGCATGTCTGACACCATTTGAAATTTGTGTTTGCAGATGAGTAGGGGCTGTGGGGAGCGTGAGGGTTTAATTTGCTCCTGGTAAGCCATGTTGAGGCTCCTGTTTACCGCGCCAGCCTCTTTCCTTCTACTTTAGATACCACCCTCCTATTGGTTTAGTGCATTGGTTTATTATTTACCCAAAACTTTTTGTCTCAGAGGTTGGTATATTAAGCTTATAGCCCCAGAATGTTCTGGCGTTAGTCCTTTTTCTGGGTGTCACAGTAAGTCATCTCAGCGGCATTCCAGATCTTACTCTGGGTGTAATGCAGCAGTGACCACGAATTCCACCAGCAGGCACTTTTGGTCGGAGTTGGTTTAAAAGCCTTCAGCAACTGTCTCGGAGAAAGGAAGCGAACTCATCGATGCTGTTTTCTTCCTTTTTAGGCCTGGCTGTCATGCATTCCCAGAGCACCAATCAGCTCGACGTCGGGAACAACCCCCGGGTGGGCACCAAACGCTACATGGCCCCCGAAGTTCTAGATGAGACCATCCAGGCGGACTGTTTCGATTCGTACAAGAGAGTTGATATTTGGGCCTTTGGTCTTGTCTTGTGGGAAGTAGCCAGACGAATGGTGAGCAATGGTAGGTACCCGATCTAATATGTCATCATCCTTGTCCAATTCTCTTGATTCTGCTACGGTTAAAAGGGCAAGGGGAATGCCTGAGGCCACATCTGTCTGCAGTTGTGTCTGGTTTCTAGCTGGTAAGTGGACTAGAACAGCGTTATCTTTTAACTACACAAGAGGAAATGGCGGTGGAAAAGAGTATTTCTGGAAGAGACTAGGCATTTCTTGGCTTTTCTTTGGATTTGGCCGCGTTTCCTTCCTTCCTTCCTCCTCTTCTTATTGTGCTTCCCTCCCTGTTCTCCCTCCTTCTTTGCTCTTCTCACAAGTAAGGCTTAAGGTGAAGGAACAGTCAAGTAAATCCGAGGGTGACGTGTGCTGTTTTAGATATTTTTACTTCTTACGTTTGGATTATTGAGATAAGGCTTGGACTGTACATTCGGAATTCACTCCTGTGTAAGAAGCAAGCGTGCCTTTTGAATTAGTGGGGTTTAAAAGCAGGAAGGCCTGAGTAGATGGATGATGGTGGTCTTCTTATAAATAAGTTTTATGAAATGGTATGGCTTCAGCACTTAGGGAAGCCTATGTCATTTTTAACTTGTGTTCCCAATATTAAACTTACTCTTGTCTTTTATATATGCTAATCAGCCACACATACATTGTTGGACTAAGTACATTGTATTCTGAAAGCACTAAGTTTACTCTTTCAAATTGCATATGCGCGCATCTACTCCCTAAAGTGGTTCTTAAAGCAGAATCTCTTGAGTCAATGAAATCATCCTCTTCATGTCTTTGCAACTGGAAGTCTTATTTCAGACCCAGGATGTGTCTCAAGTTGTTCCAGGAAAACATAAGGAAATGCCATATAATTCGTTTAATTGTCGTTTTCAGATGGATTACCTTTCCGGGACCCATTGGAGTCCTGGATTCGAGGTATTAAACAATGCACAAAGTCTCTAACATCTGTGCTCCATCTCACCTTATATTTTCATGTAAAGATTGAGATTCTTGGAGCAATCATGATTTTCATGAATAACATAGCCAGAGATTAGGAGGTTCTATGGGGGAGTGGAAGCAAGGTAATTTAACGTGCAGTAATTAAAATTGGCATGCTGTCACGGGAGCCTTCTTTTCTTCCCTAACAGCAGTGTGTGCTTTTAACAAACTCTAAGGGCATCGGGGCCTTTGTTTCAGATTAAACATAAATATACATGCATCGAAACCTGACAGTTCCTTTAAATTACTTTTTTTTCTTTAATGGAGTCAAGAACATTTTCTCGGTAATTGTTTCTCTATCGTTGGGAGCTGCTGACTTGCATGTTGTGCCATTCAAGTGCCTTGAGAATTGTTTCCAATAGTTTGTTTTGCTGATTTATAAAGTTCTGAACTTTGACCAAAATTGTGCATTGACTTCATTTCCCCTTCTCCTCAGTCATCCTCAAACACTGAGGACCTGAACAATCCAATTCTAATTAGTTACGATTTAGAGAGGGAGAGGTGTAGCAATGAGCCGTGTGCTGGGGAGCTTGCGCCATGTGAGGAGGAAGCTAACGTTCGGAGGCCAGGACAGTAGCCATTGGAGGGGGGCGGGGGTTGTGCTGGCACAGCACCAAACAAGCCTGCGCGATGAATGCCGAACTTGGCAGGAACTTGAGGTTCGGGCTCTGTAAGAGCTCATGTTGCAAAGGCGTTCCCTGTGTCACAGGCATAAACCCAAGTGGCTTTTAAAGATTGGCTGTGATTAAGAGGAGTCAATTTGAAACTAGAATCATCAGCTTAAAATTTAGCTCAACAACTGGTAGTTTGCTTGATGTATCCTGTTTAACATTATTTTGGGGAAAAGAAAATCTTGAAGGGTAGAGAATGAGAGAATGTTTTGGTTGTTTTTTGACTTATTGATCGCCCCCTTACATCATCTAGATTGTTCTCTAGTTCTTGTGGGTTGAGCTTCTGTTCTGTGCTGTGGTTTGATCTTCAGGGGGAGGTGAGGGTAATGCCATGTCTCATTTTAAATCAGTTACTATCCCTGGGCAGTGACTAATTTGATATTTTCCCCTCCCCTTCCTATAATCCCCCTTCTCCCATGAATATTCACATACCCACATATCCACACACAGAGAAATCAGTTTATCTAAACTTGAACACATTCAATGCTACTTGAAGACTATTTATTAATAATTTAGTCATCACTACTCCAAAACAGAAAAAGGAGAAATTTTGCCTTTATATTCCAACATTTGTGTTTCTTTCTACTTCTCCATGTACCCCGATATGTATATTTTTTTACTTAATTGTGATCATAGCAGAGATATAGATTTGTGTCTTTTTTCCACTTACATTTTTTAATGTTAATCTGTATTTTATGTGGTCATGTGATATTTTATTAACCATTTCCATATTTTAGACACCCTGTCTCTTCATGTGGGGCTGGGGCCTATAGTAGCCATCTTTGTTCATAGAACCTTTTTATCTGAGGAATCAATTCTTAATCTGAAAAAAAGTAGACCTAATAGGTCAAAGAGTATAGATGTTTTTATGGTCTGACACATACTGCCAAATTGCTTTTCATAAGAGTTGACTAATGTACAATATTTTGCTCACCCTAGGGTGTGATGTACCTATTTCACTTTCTTCCCAGCTTTGGGGACTGTCATTAAAAGAATATATAGTTTTGAAATTATTGCATATAAAATGTACCTCATTTAAATATATGAATATCTTAGGAAGGTCATTATAATTATGTGTCCTTTGAGTTTGAGCCCATTATAAAAATTGATGACCATAGTTTTCTGTAGCGGTGTGATCCTCAAGTGAACCAGGAGTATAAAAATATGATGCATTTTGTATTTTCATGAGAATTTTACATTGATTTGCTACTAATAACAAACTTCATGCTGTTTCTGTACAGGAAATGAGGGTTAAGTCCATTTTCACAGCTCAGAATTTCTCAGTAGTGTCTTTTGGAATTTACTTTCCATGTTTAGTTTGACACGGAACTTGGAATTAGTAGGAGGGAAAATGGTTTTCCCACCTTTACTATGTGAATTTTCTGGAGAAATTTAAGGCAGGGTTTTGCTTAAATCACTAGCTCTTAAACTGGAATGTGCATCAGAGTCATCGAGCAACAGAGTGGTGGGCCCACGTCCATGGTCTCCGATTCGGTAGGTCCAGGGCTGGGCTGAGAGGCTCACTTCCTGACAGGGTCCTAGGTCGTGGCGATGCGGCGGGCCAAGGCTTGTACTGTGGAGATCTGGTGTTGAATTGGAATCTGTTACAGTAGGTTCACGCCCGCCAGGAGACAGAGACGGCCTCCAGGGCGCTGACAGGTAGTCCATGATTTGTGTTCTGATGCTACAGGTGAAACTCGCTGTCTCTTTCAAGTTTAAGAGGAGTTCATTTCTCCTTTAAAAGTCTTGTAGCTAAGTGTTAGCCTTGCTTTCTCCATGTTTCTGTTTTCTCTGGCAGGATTCATCTTTTCCTCCTTTTACAGTTCTGCAGACTCATTTTTTTCCTGGTCCCTTGAGGGCAGTGTGGTGTGAAGACAGAACTTTACACAGGGATTCTGTTGAACACGAGCTCAGCACGGCCTGTGCACTTGTGCCCTGGAGCTTTGGTCTGATCAGAAACCTTTAACTGCACCTTCCAAGCATCTGTAGCATATACTCCTTCTTGAGTGTAGAAGTCCTTTCTCTGGATCCTCAACCTTCAGTGAATCCCATATGCAGAAATTCCACAGTTGTGTTGCTCCAATACTGTGGTCATATGCTTATAGATTTAAAAGCTAAATTATGTTCAACTCTCCCTCCTCGGCATGTCTTTGACTGTAGCATCATCTGAACAGCTTGGGCCCGTTACCTTCAGGGACTCACGGTCTACTGTAGATTTTATAGTTGTCATTTATGTGACAGGTGTACTTCACTGTCATGAATAGTCCAGTTAATCTTAGACGTACCCAGAGAAAATGTGGTGCCAAGATTCTCCTCGGAATATACACTGGGATTTTTGAAAAGGCAACACATGCCGATTGCACAGGCAAACACATTTAGAAGGAAGGAGAGAGATGGTCCTTTATGGTGTTTGATTGCTACACACCTTCTTGTGATGTTTCTCTTTGGGCTTTGCTCCCCTCCAGGCCAGAGCACTGCATGTAGGAGCCTGTATGCATGTAGGGTGCTTCTCCAGGGCCGCTGGAGGCAGGGGAACCAAATCTAGAACATTCCAGGCTCTGAAATCCTACTCTCTGACTTGATCACTTACATCAGTTACATCATGAAAAATATATTAATAGTATTCACTGCAAAGAGTTCTGATGGTTAAAGGTGATCCTGTGTGTAGGGCACTGGGTGTGTATCTGGCACGGAGTAAACGTTCAGTAACAGCCACGGGATCACAGTTCCACTGGCAGTGAATGATGATGTGCAGGCAGGTCTCAGTGGCTCTTCCCCATGTCCCTGTATGCTCACCCTTCATTCACTCTGATGCTGCATCTGTGTTGCTCTTCACTTTATGTTTCATAGAAAAATCCTGGCTGGCCAAGGTGCGTCTCTTATGGGGTGGGGCCTAGGAAATACTTGTTAGAGTAATACTTGGCACCCATACTTGGGAAAACCTCTTTGAATTAACCCTTGGCTTGCCAGGGAACTGCGTGTGCTTCTGTTCTAAGCACAATGGGCTCTAGGATTTTCTTAATATAGACCATGTTTCACAATTTTATTTCACTATTCTAGTATGTGTTAAAGTTTGAACAAAGGGAAGAATCATCATACCTGGGAAAATTTTTTTCTTATTGATAAGAGTAATCTCTTTCAGGGTTTTGCTCTGTTTTGTTCGGGTTTTTTTGAGCTTATAGCCCGGCCGGCGGCAGGAATATGGAGGTAGAGTGGGAAGGATGGATTTCTCTTCCCCCACTGATTCCTGGAATTTCCTGTCCCGGATCTAGAGATCAAGCCCAGAGGAGGGCAGTCAGCTGACGTCATGACAAAATGTCCTGAAGCCTGCAGAACTTTTCTGGGGTGCTGC